CATTTGCTTCTGAAAGAGATGTACAATGTATATAATATTTGATCTAATCCTATAATTAATTAGAAATTGGGACATAAACGCTACGAATATTTATTTGTTTGTAAATTTTTATGATTTCTGTAGGATTGGAGGTTACCGCTATTCCAGTTTAATTTAAAAAAGTTAAAATTTGTTTAAAGTAAATAAGAAAAGAATCGATTTTAAAAATTTTGATTGATAATTTAGTAAAATAAATCTGGAAAAAAAAAGAAACGATTAGTTGAAAATTTTGAAAATAGAATTACTATTAAATAATTTTTGATGTAGTTAAAACAAATAGTCAAAATAGATGCAGATGGATAATGTAATTTCATATTTTGCTAAACAAAATGATAAAATAATTTTATCGATCTAACACCGTCAATTAAACTTTTAATTTGAAATTTTATCTAATTTGGCGTATAAAATAAGAAAATTGCATGTTTTGCTTTTGTTAACAAACATAGTAGCAATATTTAGAAGCATATTATTTAACGATAATTAAAACTTCATTTTTCGTGTTTTTTTTTTTAATTTTGAAAATGAAAATTTTTTTAAATGCTCATCACTCTTTTTTTTTTCAATACATACATAATGCTATTGTTGACAATAGGAAAAAAAGAAATGGGGAAATTTTGTTCGCTTTTATTTTTTCTAAGAAATTAATTCAAATCTTAGTTTTTTTTTTTTTCAAGGTTATGTTTGCTTTAAACATATAAAATAGGAAAAAGACAATTTTCCAAAATATAAAGTTAGATTATCACTAAGTTAGTCAATTTATCATCATTGTACATTGAAGGAATTTAGTTTTCAAATTTTAAACCTATTCAAATTCGTTTCAATTTTGGCATAATATCGGCCAAAATTATTTTAGTAGAAATTTTCACATGAACTTTTATAAACAAATTTTATATATATGAATAAAGTATATCGGAAATTTCGCTAAATTACATTCTGATATAAAAATGCATAAATTGGGAGAAAGCGTGTAGCTATCAATAAGATGATAAGAATTGTTAATATTGAAAGTGAACAATAAAACTAGTTGGATGAATATATTATTATTCTGCCAATTTAGTCTTTGTTTATTTCATTTTACACTTAGTCAACATGTGATGGATGGTGTTTAATCAATCAGCCGAACAAAAAAAAAAAAAAAAAAAATTAAGAAAGGAAGTTTAGCAAATTTAATGTGGAAATTAGAGGGAAGTATGAAAATGTACTAGATATAGAAAAATATATCAAATTTAATATCGGTATAATGATTGGGTAGAAATAAAATTGAATCACATATTAGCTGCTAAATAAATCAATATATGGATGGAAGGAGAATTGAATCAAATATTAATTCTTGAATATTATACTTAATATAGGCATACTGTAGAATAAACGAAAACATAAGGAAATGAATTGAAATGGAATTTAATTAAATACTAACTGGATACTGGTGACAAAAATAAAGAAAATTGGATACATGGGTAATATTATTTCACCTTAGCTACTTAAGCTTTTCCCTACTATACACACACGGACATACACACACACACACACACAGACATACACATACACAGACATACACATACACAGACATACACACATACACACATACACATACACACAACATACAACTAGGGAAAATATGTATGCTTCATTAATAATTTTCGAAAAAAAAACTTGGATAAATTTGTTCTAATAGTTCGTATCAGCTTAATTAACAGATCAATTAATTACAACAATTGGTCGAATTGTAGTCTGTTTTTTTTTCCCGAAAAAAGAGAACGAAAGATTTGTGAATTTAATAAGATTCTTTGAAAATTTCGAGAAATATTGCTACATTTGAATAACTGATAGAAATTTTTGTTCAATTATAAAATACTGAGCAATTTTAATTATACACATTATTAATCGACTAATTTAATATCTTAAACTTTTAGCAATTTTTAGGAGAGCATTTCGGTGTGATACATCGGTGATACCAATATCGATGAGATCATTGTTTGTTAATGCCAAGAATGTTCCTTTATCAACTTCTTCATCTTTTAGCAAATTAACATATTTACCAAGACCTGCTTCATTTAGCTTTTCCCATATCAAATCTGAAAAAAATGAAATGAAATTTGATGAACTCATTAAAATATTTCCCTTTATCATTGCAGCACTATGATGCTTAAACTAATCAAATAGAAAAATCAATTGTTATCCATTGAGCATATTCATTTGATTCATACTGACCCATGGTAATTTCAACTTTGAAAATTTTCCATAGCATATGAATAATTACTTACAAATATTATGAATTTATTTAATTGAAAGAATTTATTAAATATGTTTGATAGGAATGTTAATAAAATTTATGGATATAAAATGATAAGCGATGATTAGATTCTTTAATTACTATCAGATATATTTCATGCAAATCTTTTGTACATATAAAATGATAAGTATAATAAAAATTGATAATATGTTTTTTTTTTTTGGTTTTAGTAATAATCAGACTCATTAATGCAATGAAATATATAATAATTAAGCAAATATTTTGATCGTCATAAAAGAAAACAGATTTTCATATGTATATAAAAGCTCCAAATTTTTGGATAATTAAACTAAAAGATTCAAATTTAAAAACCATATATTTAATTGTTGACATTGAATTTTTATAAAAATTTCATCAAATAATTGAAACTTCTTTTACCTTCGGTAACTTTCTGTCTTCTTCGCTCATGATATGCATTATCATAGGTAGCAGCTTTTATTGTTGATATATTGCTTAACTTACGTCTCGTCCTATCATTCAAAGAACACCGCCAAACAAGCGTATCAAGCGTTGGCGTTGAAGCACTTCTGTAATTAAGTATAAAATTACATTAGATATGTTAGAATCAAAATCGTATTAAAACATTTCATAAAATGAATTAACATTAACTGATTATCATTCAAAGTTAAGAATGACAATAATTAGTGATTAAAAATCTATCACGTGCCATAAATTTTCTAAAAATTAAACTATTCTAAATAATTTTTTGATCATTTTAAAATATATTTTCATAATAATAATTCAAAAAAAAAATTTTTTTTAATAATTTACTTTTTTAAACGTTCTCCGTCTTTATCTGAAAAAATATATTGGTTTAGTGATGAACGTGATGGTGAATTACGGTCATCATCTTCACCATCATCCATATTATTACACTTAATTGTTTCACGTGATTGATTACGAAATCGTGGAATGGTACCCAATGTATGCGTTGAACAACGTCCCAATGATGCACAATGACGTGAAAGCATTGAAGTTGAATGATCTGAAATTAATAATAAAATTTGATAAATATTAATAGCAATCTATTAAAACATCAACAATTTAATGTTTGTTTAATTAAATTCAATAACTTAATGATCTCTTGGTGAGTCTTCAGTCTTCATCAGAAATTAACAAATTTTACCAATAATTATCAAAACAATAAATGAGGACAATTGATAAAATTCTCAACCTGAAGCTGATGTTGAAGAGCTAATTTCTCTGCTATCATTATCATCATATTGATGTCGCATTTTGCTAACATTTAAAAATTCTCTGCCAGAATTTCTATTCGGACATTCCTGAAATTTTAACTTTCAGAGATTCCTTCTTTTCTTATCCAATAATTTTTGTTTAATTTCTGCTTTGAAAACTTTGAACAAATATCAGAATTTAATCAAAGTTTAATTTTCAACATTCATTAAAGGAAAAAATTTCATTTTTTTGTAATTTGTTACCATTATTATATCAATGATTTGTATTAAAATGTTCTTTTTCTGTTTTTTACCTTAAATACGTAAATTAGAAAAAACAATTTTTAAATGATTTTTTTTTTTCTTACATAATATAAATATGCATTCCATTGAGCAATTGATAAAAAATTTCGACGCTTATGATTGATTGTTTTACCGGTAGAAATCGAATTATCCAATGATAGTCCGTATTTAATCGAATTACTCTTTTCTAAGTCATGTTTATTTAGAGTAAATATTACCGGTAAATTAAGAATTCCCTGATTAGCACAATTCTGAAATGGAATAACATATTCGATATTTTCTATTTTATATATTCAATTAGTAAATTTTTTAAAAAATATCTCAAAATTTTCCTTTAAAAAAAAATACACATACATACAAATTTTTTTTTGCTAACATTTAACGTATTTTAACGAGAAAAAATTTTAATTTGCATAATTATTCAAAAAAAAAAAAACAAAATGTTATACCAATCAATAGAGTAGCGTATAAATAAATGCAAATTATTTTAATCAAAATTGCTCAGTTAAATTTTGTACATGTATTTGATTAAAAATTAATCATACTTCAGCAATAAATCTAGCAGCTTCAATGTAACGATGTAAATGATCGCATTTTCCAGTTTTTTCATTTCCGATCGATTTCAAAATATCATTAGCCAAACTGAATTCTTCATCATCATGTTGATGAATTTGCACAAGCTTAGATAAATGCGCTCTACTAAAGTTTAATTTTTCCTTGCTATCCAAATTATTTCCGATATTACTACCAAAACCAACATGGCCGGATAGTTTGTTTAGCTAAAAAAAAAAACGAAAAAAAAAGAAAAATCTCATTTGAATTTATTAATTAGTTCTGCTAATTTAACTTTCTTTTGTTTACCAGCTATCAATGTTATAATTCTCAATTAAACCAAAACATAATAACAACTCAATAATGTGTGAAATAAAATACCACGAATAATAAGTATATACTTATGAATAGAAATATAATTAATGTGAGCCATTTATTTCATTTTTATTAATTCAATTTTAAAATATTATTCTTCTCCGTATAATTTCATTACAACTATTAGATAAATCAATAATGTATTTAATATTAGAACATAAAAATAATCATGTGAATATTTTAAAATTAAATAAAAATGAAATAAAATATATCCATTTTACATAACTAATTTTCAGATGTATAATATTAACTGTTAGAATATTCCGATTTAAAACTATTTACCGTTTGTTGGCTTTTTTTTTTAAAAAAAAAGTTAGTTATGTGAAATTTGAAAGTAGAAAAAAAATTAAACTTACAATTTTTGCCTTACTATTATAAATGACACGAGTTAAGTGTTGATATTGATGACTATCAGTGGTGGTACGTTGTGATGATGCAGTAATACTATGTCCAATTCGTTGTTGCAGTAAACAAAGTAAATCAGCATTTATATTACCTGAAAAATGATGCAAATGATAATGATAAGAAGTAATTTATCAAATGTCATATAAATCATATTATCAAGAAAATTTATCAATTTTCAACGATTAAATTAAAAATTAATCTTATCTTTTTTTTTTTCTACAAATATTTTCCATTTAACTTTATTTTACTTTTTATCAAATTTATAATAAATGTTTTTTTCTTCTGAAATTAAACAAGAAAAAGAACATTTATATAAATGAAATTTTATATAAAATGAAAAGTTACAAAAAATACCAATAGCAAATGCATAATCGATAGCTGTAAAACCATCAACGGATATTAGCGAAATATCAGCACCAAAATTTATCAAATATTCCATAACTTCATAATTGCTAGCAAAATTATTTCCATCAATTAATTTATTTTACAAATTTGTTGAATTCTATTAAATTTGTTCATATTAGTTGGTGATAAATAATTACATCGAAATGAAGTTCATCATTAATGAAACTTATTCATTAATTGATAATAAATCTGTATGCATCTTTTTTCATTTCTTATACCTTTAATATTCAAATTTGATTTCATGTCCTCAATATTTTTATTTAATGTAAAATAGTCATTGATTGAAAATTAAATTTAAATTTGAAGATTGATTTAAAGTTTGGTTCAATTTTCTATTGTATTATAATAAAGAGCTTGGTCAAGGTAAAAGAATGTTGAAATATTTTTTATCATTTTTAAATGACATTTTTTATCGTGACATCTTCAATTTTAATCACTCCTATTACGATTATCAGTATTTATTTATGTAAATATTTTTACATCATACCCAATAATAGCAGCAAACATGAGAGCTGTAAGTCCGGAAACATTTTCAGCAGTATTAATATCGCTAACGTTTGATTCTCGAATAATTTTTACCTATTTGAAAAGATTAATTTTACTCAAATTATAATCAATTAATGTTCCAAAAAGAAAAAATGTCAAATTTAAATAAAATAAAATGATCAACAATCATAAATGAATGAATAAAATATTTGCTTACAATACTGATATCGGCTAAAAGTACAGCATACATTAATGGTGTTGTATTTTCCGGAAATGAAATATATGGTACATGTCGATCAAATATCATTCGAATACCATTTTCATCATTATTATAAATAAGCTGTCTTAAATCTACTTCTATCGATTCCTCTTCTTAAAAATAATATCTATTTGTAAAAACAAACAAAACAAAATAACAAAATGTTAGCATCACATTAATTAACTAATTAATTAACCATTAATTAAAATTGAAATTGAACCCATAAATTTGTTATAATCAAAAACACACAAATTTTGCAAATTGATTTCTTTTTTTTTACATTAAATGTATATTTTTTTACATCAAACACATGATTTATTAAATTACTTATTAAAATAACAACATGAATTTGTCATATTTAAAGATATAAAAATTATGAATTCAATTTTTTAAAATATTTTTTACTTGAACATAAACACATTAAAATTTCACATGAATTTGTCACAATTAAAGAAACAGAAATTTTTATAAGCTAAATTCCTTTCACATTAAAAATATATATGTAATAAATTTACTTG